GGCAGGGCCGGTCGCAGGCGCGCTGGCGCCTGCCAGGCGGATGGAGCGGGGTGCTGTTTGCGCTGCGTCGCAGGGAGCTGGAGCGTCTCTCACGCTTGGCCTTGCGTCCTGTGCTGGCCGTCTCGGTGAAAAGAAGTCAACCTGTCATGAGTTTGCACGTTTGTTGTCCAAGTGGTTTGCCTGTAGCTCATAGAACTCAATTTTCCATTTGCTGAAGCTGTTCATGTTAATGTAGCAAACTGAATGGACGCTCTAAGATGATGGCCATGTTATTCCGTGCTCTATTCTAGAATTTTTGTGGTACATTAAAATCTTGGATTCGGCCAGAATTTATTCTGATGTAAATAAGGTACATTCAGCTTAGTTTCTTTCCCCTCTAATTGGCTAATTGCCCCAACACTATTGACCAAATAATCCTTTTTTCTTTAGATTTTTGAATCTTTTCTTTATGAGATTTTATGGCTTGAATTTTATGACTCTGTGATTCAACATTTTTATTTTAAGTTGAAGTATAGTTGACATACAATATATTAGTTTCAGGTGCACAGCAAAGTGACTCAGTTATACGTGTAAATTCTTTTTCAGAGTCTCTTCCATTATAGGTTATTACAAGCTGCTGAATATAGTTCTCTGTGCTCTACAGTAGATCCTTGTTGTTTATGTATTTTATGTATAGTGGTGTGTATACATTAATCCCAAACTTATAGTTTATTGCTCCCTGTACCCTTTTCCTTTTGGTTTGTTTCTTTTCTATCTCTGTGAGTCTGTTTCTGTTTCATTTGTTCATTTGTATCATTGTTTAGATTCCACATACAAGTGATACATGGATGGTACTTGTCTTTCTCTGATTGACTTCACTTAGTATGATAAATTGCTCATGTTGCTGCAAATGGCATTATTTCATTCTTTTCTATGGCTAAGTAGTGTTCCTGTGTGTGTGTGTGTGTGCACCACAACTGCTTTATCCTGTCACCTGTAGATGGACATTCAGGTTGTTTCCATGTCTTGACTGTTGCAGATAGTGCTGCTGTGAGCTCAGAATTTTGGTGTTTCTTGAGTTTCTTTCCTGCTGTTTTCCTTCCCTACTGCTGTTTCAAATGATTGATGTCTCACAGACTTTAATCTCTGGCAGGGTGAAGCCCCCGTGCCGGCACTGGGCCCAGGCCTTGTCTGGGGGGCCGGAACCTGGGCCTCCCCAGCCTTGCTGGCTGTGCGTGGGCCCTGGGCCCTGGGTCCCTGTCGCCAGGCCCCCCGGCCCCTCCCCAACCCCAGCAGACCTTCTCTGGGCCCTGGGCAGCTCTGACAGGGTTTTGTCTGGTCCTGGGACCTGGCTTTTTCTACTCTGAGGTTAGGGTGGGAACTGCTACCCTCTCGAGAGCTTCAGCCCCTTCTCAGAGCTGGGGCAGAAGCCGGTCTTGGCTTCTTTAAAGAAACATTTATGTTCCTAGCTTTTACTGAAGAATAACTCAGCATCTTAAAGCATAAGGATGGAGTAGAAGGGTTGGAACGCCAGGCCTTGGTTTCACGTGACACGGAGCAGGGGAGGTACTGAATGCCGAGCCTTTGCCCGGACGGCCAGCAGGCGTGAGCTGCAGGTGAACCAAGGCACTGATGTGCTTCCGCTCGGAAGTCGTCTGTGGGACCAGCAAGTGCCGCAGGGCCCGGCGTGGTGGGGGGCCTGGTTCCAAGGGCAGAGGCGCATGGCTCGGGGAGGGGTGGTGGCGGAAGCTCTGAGCTACTGGTGGTTGCCTCTGCCCTGGAGAGCACCCTGTGCTCCCGTCACCGCTCCCTCAGCCCGTCCGGCGCCCCTCCCGTCCCTCTACACGCCGTCTCTGCCTCGCCTCCCTCTCAGCTGCATAGCGGCATCCACGTCTTCATGTCCGATTCGTGCAGCTTTTCCGGGCATTTCCAATTTGTTCCCCCATCTCCCGTCTGCGGCCTCGAGAGCCCTCGCCCTCCCGCTCCAGCCTCAGCTCTCGGGACACCCTGGCCTTCGCTGTCTCTGACCCCTGGCACTGTCGCCAGCATTCATTTGACACTTACTTCCTGCCTATCCTTCTTTCTTTAAAAGGAACAGCAACATGCCAGCTCTTTGGGGGCCAAAACCATGTCTTACATCTTTGTGTCTTCTACAGTGACTAATAGGGTGCCTGGTTTATGGGTGATAACCTTTTTTCCCCCCCCAAGATTGTTGAATGAGCCTGAGAAAGTAAGTTTTTAAAGCTTTCATTTTCTCTGTTGGTAGATTTCCAGAGATTTGCTTGCCCGTGCAGAGTCTCTTTCTCTGATCATTGCTGTGATTTCATAAACTTGATTGTGGGGCCGTTTATTTTAGATCCATCTTCTTTAGATGTGAGGCGGGCCACACTGCAGACTTCTGTTGGTGGCTTTTCCCCTCTCACTTCTTGTCTCCTCGCTTCCTTGGATCATATTGTTTGTGCCGAGAGTGGACTGCTGTGCTGGCTCTGCTGCCGGCTGGTCCAGCCCGGATTCACGTTGAGGCCCAGGCTCACAGGCTGCAGGTCCAGCTTGGCAGTGGTTCCCCTATTGCTCAGTAGTAGCTGGCGAGTTAAAGGTGAGCCGTGGCTGCGACTTGTAGCGGAAAGGATAGGTCAGAATCTGCCTGGTGGGACCTGTAAGTCCCTGGAGTGTATGCGCATGTTTGGATGTTACCCCAGAAAGGGGGGCATAGCCCTGAGGACAGTGCAGATGTTGGGAGATTTACAGTGTGTTACTGGAAAGCAGGAGCTTAGCCTCCTGGGCAGATAAACCCCTGGGAACAGGACAGAGCACAGCTGCATGATACAGACACGTTCAGAGGGGACGGCGTGGATGAAGAAGGTCTTTAGGTGATGGTTAGTTTGCGTGGCCACAGAAATCCGGAGTTCTCCCTATAAGAGGTGGCTCCTGATGGCTGGCGAGGATGAGCCTCTGAGCAGCAAGACGGAAGCGAAGATACGTGGAGATGAGGAGCTCTGGCGGAACCGGGAGGGTGGAACCTCGCCAGACAGAGCGTCCGAGAGGGGCTTTCAGTCCACATATTTGTTGAAAACTTGTCTCCTTGTGCAGCTTAAAGCAAAGTTTTCATAAATAATTTTAGGGCATGTTTTTCATAATCCAGTGTGATTCTTTTTGATGAGAACTGCCATTTTGGCACAGAAATAAAACTGTGGCTGTTTCTGTAAAGACAGGCTAGGCTGCAGAGCCCCAGTGTTTGGTTGGGTCTGGTGACCCTGTCATGGTGATGAGGAAGCCTCAGAGTGTGGGACCCACATTAATGTGGCAGATTGGGGAGCTCCTGTCAGCAGCTTCCTAAGGACAGAAGCCTGGAAGGCAGGGGAGGTTGGGGTGTTCCTAGTTCTTCCCTCATTTTGTTGCATATCTGGAGCAGTGGTTCTTAAGCAGGGCCCTTCTGCCCTACAGGGGAGTTAGCAGCGTCTGGAGACGGTTTGGAGTGTGCTGTCCGGGGATCGGGGGGTGTCACTGGCAGCCAGTGGGTAGAGGCTGGGGTTACAGCTAAACGCGCTGTAAGGCACAGGTGCCCTCCACACGGAGCGCTCCCCACGTGGCAGGAGTGCCCAGATCAAGAACCTCATCTAGTTAGCGATTTGTTTTCTATTTTTCTCCTTGCTGATTTGGCACTTGTCTTAAGTTCCCTTATTGGTCAGAGGCGGTGCTTCCCAAAGCTGTCTGCGGGCAGCAGCCCCCGGCGCTCCTGGGTTCTGGGTTCATGCCTGTGGAACCTGTGTCCTGGGTACTGAGGTCCTGAGTCTGTGTGTCTGCTGGTGCCCGTGGTGACCCTCACACCTCTGGGGATCGAGAGCCACTCCTCTCAGGCTGCAGCGATGTTTCTGGTCACCAGCAGCTCACAGTGCTGTCCCAGGACCCTCCTGCTAAACTCACGTTAACAGAATGTACTGGAAGGCGGTGTTGCAGCTTCTGGTGAGGAACACCCGTTGCTGATATGCAGAGACACACAGGGATGCAGGCCCTTTTTGGTAAAAAGGCTGGAGCATCCATGAGGAGACGGGGCCTGGGGCCCCAGAGGACAGGAAGCGGGGGGGATCGTGTTGGACAGTGTGGTCAGCAGGGCCCGGGGCCCCAGAGGACAGGAAGCGGGGGGATCGTGTTGGACAGTGTGGTCAGCAGCACTGCCTGCCAGCGAGGGGCTGAGCAGAGGGAGGCGGCCGGGTGCTGAGGGGTGACCGAGTAGCCTGCTCTGTGGATCCCGCCCTGCCGTGCATCGATAGGAAGGAGAGGGCACCTTCAGTAAGGGTTAACACCCTCCCAGTGAAGCCTCCATCAGCTGTTTGCTTCTGAGGGGGAGAAGAGCCGGTGCAGCCGGCGTGCGGCGCCTCCCCTCCCCCAGGCCTGAGTGGGGGTGGGGGGGGGCGGGCTGATCGCATTCATGGAAATCAGCCTGCTGGACGCGCAGCACACGCTCCCGGTGTCAGCTGGGCGACAGCTCCGCGCGCGGCCATCTCCGTCCACGCCAGCCGTGCCCACCGGGACTGGGACCAGGATCGGCTCCCTCTCCACCCGGGGGTCTGCTCAGCTTTTGTTTCCTGCGGCCGCTGCCTCCTCTGCCGGCCGGTTCTGGCACCCATG